TCCGCATGAACCTTACCGCAATATAACGTGCTCGCAATATAACGCAATTCAATTTAACTGTCACAGACCCAACTTTGCAGGCTCAAATTCGACGTAGCCAGCTTGTGTTTCTAGGTGCACGTCAACTATAAACCTTGTGGGGAGTCACGGTCGTCATAGCGACCGATACAAGGTTGGTGAAATCTGACGAATGAAATCCGATCGGCTTATGAAAACAAGGTTGATCATGTCAAGGTTGCACATATGTACATGCGCTAGAGTAAGTATAAAACCTCGGCCTGCCTGGAATACATACCTAAGTTCTCCGCGTATCACAAAACAAACACGACCTCCTCCTACTTAACCTTCTACTTACCTCCTGTTCAACGAGATGGGAACCAAGTGAGTTCCTCCTCGTTCGCTTATTTGATCCGCATCCCGCTCGTTAATCACCTATCACTCATTTACTGCGTCCGCTCTACCACAGGAGACTCGCTACTGTAGATGCGCCGTCTCCGCCGCCGGCGAAGCAGCCGCACTCGGAATTAAGCGTGCCCGGAACCGCTGCAAGCTCAACATCCACTGCGACTCCGACTAGCCCCGCCTCGTGCAGCGCTCCCGCTCTGAGGTATGACTTAGAACTTATAAACAAAAGTACCGATAGCCGTGTTTCTGTGTTGCACGTCTCACTTTGTATGTGTACGTCTGTGCGTTTAACTCCGTGCATTGAAATTTCTGTGATGAGGCCCGCATCCTGGACGTTTTACGCATCGAATTTCATGTACTCAACCGAACTGCTAACGACTGAAAAAATGAAAGTAGCCTACATCGACAACAATGAGGGGATGTGATGTTCCACTGGAAGCACAGATAGGGATCCATTGACCTGCCCACATAACTCCCCGACTGCTGCTAAGGAAGAGAAAGGGCAGAACAGAAACAAGAGGTAGGGAAGAAACGCGAGCACGGTTACGCGAATACATGTGGACCACGATAGAACAGAACCGTGATAGAACGTGCCCCCCATATAACATCCGATACGTAAAGTTTGTCGTGCCGATCTATACGTGCAACAACATAGACACAGACTTTAGCGCACGAATTAAACACACAACTACAATACGGGATGCACCCACACAAGCTCGATGCTAACTATAATACCGTTCGACCACCCATCCGGCGCACAACCCCGCCAGCACCTCGGTAAGCTTTCAACTTACCTTCACAGCCGGCCCAACACAAATCGGCATCGACCGCTTGTGGAGCGGCATGAGATGCAACAACTTTATGCCAATATCATAGGGAGGCGATTAAATAATTACTGTGAGGGCAATAGGCTACGTGCCGTTAGCCAGGCTGGATGTAGGCATGGTTTTGGCACCGAGCATCACTTGTTTACATTAAGGCATCTTATCTCGAAGCACACTGTGGCCGGAGCCAGGCCGCTTATTATCATGCAAATTGACTTTAGTAAGGCGTTCGACTCCGTTGACCATGAGACACTTTGGGATTTCCTAATGTCGTATGGGCTACACGGGCGCATCCTCGATTCTTTAAAGGCTAGCTATGCTGACGTGAAGTTTCGGGTCAAGTTAGGAAATAAGTTGGGACCTGAATTCAAGGTGGGGCGTGGTGTTAAGCAAGGGTGTCCCCTTAGCGTAACCCTTTTTGGACTCTTCATAGAAGTATTCGCTCATTATATTGATGCCCATGATGCTAATTGCCGTGTATGCCTCCCCAGCCGATGGAGCACCCTTCGTGAGCAGAGTGTTAGCCTGGCGGGCGGTGATCTCACTAACCTACTTTTCGTTGACGATGTGTCACTGGTAGCGACAGGGCACGATAGAGCTGAATGCCTTCTGGGGCTACTCGAAGCCTACTGCAAAGCGACGGGTATGGCCGCGAATGCCGCCAAGTGCGAGGTCCTCATTTTTGGGGGTGCTACACGTGAGCGGAAGCGGCTTGTTGAAGCTGAGTACTGGTTAGGTGGGGCGGGGTTGCGGGTGCTGACCGGCAACGAGACGGCACGGTATCTCGGGTTGCACTATGGCCCAGGAGTGCAGTTCTCAGCATGTACCAAGCAACTACTCACAGCAGGGAGGCGGGCCACATTTGGGCTCAGCACCCTGTGTCGTGATAAGAAAATTACCACCCCCAAGCTATGTATGTCTCTCTACAATACACTAGTTGTACCGGTGTTTTCTTATGGAGCGCAAGTTTGGGGACCTGACTTCATTAATGTGAATTTTGAAGGTGCTATGGCTAATCCCATGGTCCAGGAACAACGTGCTTACATGCGAACCATAGTTGGGGCGAGGAGCCCGACTATGGTTTCCCTATATCGCGAGCTGTCACAGAGGCCACTCCAGTTCCATTGGACCAATCTTGTACTTAGGTTTTGGAACTCTGTGGTTAAGAGGCCGGGAACGTTGTGTCACCGGGCATTTGTCGCTGACCTGGAGTTGGCACTTGGGGGCGCCACTGAGTGTTGGGCAAGCAAGTACTAGCCTTTCTTACTAGCTTAGGAGTGGAGCCCCCCACTAATATGCGCGGTAATGATCTTATATCGTACTACACCACCCTTAAATTGCCAGTCGAGAGCATTCTTAAGGTTTTTGCCAAGTGGCTTGATGCTCGGTGGGAGTGCCCGAATACCTTGGGTGACCCCCGCGTCTTCCCCATAGGAATTACCGGAGCCAAGGCGTGTCACTATATGAACTGGATGGGAGCTGCCCCGTCAAGGGGTGCGCGTCTTGATTGGCTGGAGCACACTAAAGGGACCATGCCCCAGCGACTTCATCATGTGCTCATGCGTTTTTGGTTAGGCTGTTGGGAGTTAGAGGTTAATAGACCTAATGGGCGTGAGCGCACCGCACGTACCTGCAGGCTTTGTGACTGTGGAGCGGTTGAAGATGAGTTGCATGTTTTCGAAGAATGTCCCGCTTACAAGAGCATACGGGCTAAGTATGATGGTGACCTAGTCCTTAGGGGGCGCAGCATGCGCACCACTATGACTGAGGCGCCACCCCTGGCATTGGCCAGGTACCTCTCGGAAATCTGGGAGGCCAGGCACATCGCACTGAGGCGCTTCACCCTGAAGTGGACGAGGGAGAATGAAGATGACCTCCCGCGTACCCGCATCAATACCAATACAACATCCATGGCCCCCCCGGCTTTTACGGACACACCCACACTTTGTGTGCGGAACTTGTAACTTGTAACTTTGCAACAGCACAACCATCGTCAGCGGGCCAACAACGAACAGAATCGTACTCATCCAAATTGACAGTTCCATCCTGGCCAGCCTCCAAGCTAACAAATGCTTTGGAGTCGTGGTAGACATCACACACGTACAATCAGCCAGTCTACCACCCAGTGTAAGCAATCGCTTCGCAGGGGTTCTAGTAAACACCTTCAAAACCACTAGCAAAAGCGAGATTAAGCCTACTCCAGCCAGACATATATGGAGTATCCTTACAGCCCACCTGTGATTCCCGGCTCTAAATCCGTACGTCAACCCACCAGTGAATGAGCTCAGCTATCCCAATGACGGCAGCATGCTCCTCGTGTTGCCATTTGGTGAACCCTTCAGCAGTGGGCCATACCGGAAAATCAGTGCATACTTGGCTTGTGCCGACGTACATGATATCCGAGTTGGAGAAGTCGAACTTACATATGATCAAACTACCCCGCCGGCCTATTGCCAGCTAATCAGCGATGCCGGCAGCAACAGCATCCCATTGTACGTCTTCGGTGCCAAAGTCAACGGCACCAATCCGCAATACAAACTGACGGTATGGACCAACAGCATGCTCACCGCCGCGGCAATCAAGCCCGGCCAGGACATGCACACCTTCCCCATTCATGTCTGCACGTTCATCAATGCTGTCCAGCAGCACACGCAACAAACAGCGGCCTCCGATACCAGCAACATGCTCTTAGCATGGGAGCAGCACGAGCACACCACTACGACCCTACCCCAAGACGGCATGCATGCCAACGCCAGCCTGGCCCCTAACCCCAGCATCGACACCATCATCCATGACCGCAAGGTATTGCCACTTGTACTAACAGTCGGCCAGCAGCAGTACCCGGCGTGCAGCGACAGCCCGGAGAATGCATCA